GAGCGATCTGCTCCACTGTTTTAAAGGCATAGGAAAGGGTGAAAAACCCAACAGGTTTGTATGTTGTCTCTTTCCCATTGAGGAGATCTACCTTCACTTCCTGCCCTGTAGACCCAACAGGAAGTGGGGAGGATTTCCCCTCTGTTCATCTTCCAGTTGCATTTTCCCATCGATGGCAATGGTGACCAGATCAAATAGAGAGGGCCGATCTCCCCCATCAGGGGGGCATGGAGGGCAATAATGACCTGACATGGGGCCCAATCCTTTATATGTATGTTATGTATTTGTATCATTTATATAATCATGTTTTTGTTTTTAATCATTTTCCTGTTTTTTAAATTTTGTAACGTCCCCCCATTGTCACATTTCTTTACATTTTAGGTCCTGGCAGGAAGCACAAATGATGACACCTCTGGAGGATTAGAGCTACAAAAGAACATTCCTGTCGCCCAGGTACACCTCCCAAGGCAAGAGCCCGTCATTTCCTTATAATCCTTCAGTCTCCTATCTGACCTCCGTCCTTCCCTTCAGTCTCCTATCTGACCTCCGTCCTTCCCTTCATTCTCCTATCTGACCTCCGTCCTTCCCTTCATTCTCCTATCTGACCTCCGTCCTTCCCTTCATTCTTCTATCTGACCTCCGTCCTTCCCTTCAGTCTTCTATCTGACCTCCGTCCTCCCCTTCAGTCTTCTATCTGACCTCCGTCCTCCCCTTCAGTCTTCTATCTGACCTCCGTCCTTCCCTTCAGTCTTCTATCTGACCTCCGTCCTTCCCTTCAGTCTTCTATCTGACCTCCGTCCTTCCCTTCAGTCTTATATTTGACCTCCGTCCCCCCCTTCAGTCTTATATCTGACCTCCTTCCTTCCCTTCAGTCTTCTATGTGACCTCCGGCCTTCCCTTCAGTCTTCTATCTGACCTCCGTCCTTCCCTTCAGTCTTCTATCTGACCTCCCTCCTCCCCTTCAGTCTTCTATCTGACCTCTGTCCTCCCCTTCAGTCTTGCACAGTCGTACCGACTCCTCTGATGTCACTGCACACTGGGAGCTCCTCACAATGTGCATTTGAAGCTGCAGCCTGTCAGACAGAGCTCCGCCTCATCTCCTGGCTGGAGGACGTCCGGCATCATCTAGGGCTTTCTTCCCCCAGCCCACCTGTAGCCATACAGGGTCAATTCCGGCGTATTTCAGGGCCCTCCTTTCCATCTTGTTGTCTTGAATTGTGATTGTCATGTTTTCCTTATATTGTACAGCGCTGCGCACACTGTTGGTGCTCTATAAATCCTGTATAATAATAATTTCCCCGGTCAGGGAGTCGCAGGTGCTGCGTATCCGCCAGTGGAAGTCAATGACTGTACACGGGAACATGCCTGACCTGCATGCGTTGAAGAGCGCAACCATACATGCCGGGTATACCTGTGTACAGCCATTGGCTCTGCTCTGTGGCTCCCTGACGGGGGAAATACGCCGGAGCTTATGCTGTAGTGCCACAGGCGGCAGTGTACACGACCCCTTAGATGTAACACAGGAGCACAATTGAAAGACAGGGACTGAGTGTTGTCACCCTGTAGCAGGAAGTGTCAACAAGGACCGTCATAGCAGGATCACCAGGGAGGAAGCAACATTAACGTGTTGTAAAGCTTCTGTGGGAGGGCAGGTGTCCTGATGGCAACAACTATGGACCATGGCTGTGAAATGTGTGTTGCAAGTCTATGTAACAGGGTGACAACGAGCACAACTGGGAGACGGGGACAGAGCGTTGTCACCCTATAACAGGAAGTGCCTGAACAAGGACAGAGCATTGTCACCCTATAACAGGAAGTGTCTGAACAAAGACAGGGCGTTGTCACCCTATAACAGGAAGTGTCTGAACAAGGACAGGGCGTTGTCACCCTATAACAGGAAGTATCTGAACATGGACCTCCACGGCGGGATCTCCGGGGATTACGTTAATGAATGTTACAGTTTAATTGAAATGACAGTAACATGTTTGATGGAAAAAAATAACCGTCCCATAACCACAATGAGCTCTGTGATGATCGCGGTTGTGGATGTGATTATTATTTTTCTGGTGAAGTTGTGTCAGCGGTTTTCAGACAAAACAGGAAATGGCTTTTCCTTCCTCTGGACTCGCAACGTCCCTTCGGTGATCAGGGTGGTAAGATGGCTTCATTCCGAGCGAGGCGGGCCGG